GACGTGGATTACAGCAATATGGCTTTGGGGGAAAATCCTCCTGGCTGGGGATGGATAGACTTTTTGCAATAGCCCACTAGATGGGGGGCAGCCAGGAGGGCTGTAAAAAGTATTTGCTTATTCCTTTAAAAGGGGGTGCAGAGAGAACAAGCTTGGGTTGCCAATCTGGACATAGTGTTACCTTCTACCTGTGTAAAAAAGACTTTGTGGCAGTCTTTAAGACTGCCAGATCTATTCTAATGCGGGCTTTTCTGAGTTACTGTGAAGAGGTGGATTGTGTTTGCAAAAGCTCCCACCAAAATAAATGTGATAGCCTTAAATGTGCCATAAGTGTTTGAGGTGTTGTTGTTTTAGGTGAGTTGTGTTTACATTCTGTGAAGTACTAAATATTCCAAATAAAATATTATGCTAAAAAGCAGCACTTTTGTCTTGCATAACTCTGTTTAAGCTTTTCAAATATAAACCTTTGTGGGGCATGAAATTAGATGGGCACCAGGATTGACATCCGCTGGGAACGGAAATATAGGAGTGATGAAACACTGGGTTAAGGAACAATAGTCTTGGATTTGGGGAGACAGTTTTCCAGTGCCCTTGTGCCCACAACATTGTGGGATAATGAAGGCAGTTAATTGTCATGCAAATATCATCTTAAAAAATTAGTAGTATATTCTTGCCTCTCCAAGGCATTCCCTTCCCCTACACTGTAAACCCCCTCTTTATTTGATGTAAGTAAGTTATGGTGCAATAAGCGTAACTTCTTCATTGAATAATTTTTATACCAAAAAATAAACCAAAAACCCCCCAAACAATACCAAAACAAACATTATTCCTTGTCAGTATAAGAAAAAGAATTTAAGTCACTGCCATGCATAAATTAGGAATTAATGATACAGTTCAGCCTAAGTTCATCTTTCTGCCCTACACTCTTATTTCTAAGCCATTACTTGCAGTCCAAGTATTTTCAAGTCTTTTGCTTCCAGCGAGAGGACTAGAAACTTGAGTTGGTGAAAGTGGTACAAAACGTATTATAAGAAGAGTCCTCACTAATAGAAAAAGCAAATGGTTCTGGAATGGCAGTTCTTAAGAATTCTTTTCAAAGCCAAAGGACCTGTAGAAGAGTGCTCTCACCTGTCCTTGGGGATCTCATAGGCATGGCATGCCGGCAACGTTCCGTGGGGTTCTGACTGTGACCAGAAGCAAATGGGCGGCAACTCTATCTCGGCTGCAAGGCCCTAATCTAGTGCTATGCAGCCACACAGCTTAGAATGTTGCATGCAGATGAATTTATAAACTGCTTGCAGGTCTATACCATAGACATCAAATGATGGCATTTCAATACTTTCCATTTTGATTTTTTAGACCATTTTTCCTACTAATTTGGTACACTAAACTTGCCTCGAGCATTAATATCAGCAATGCTCCTGAACTGAAACCATTTGACTCCGGGCTTGATAAAGGGGCTATGGGGGAAAGTTGGTCCAGACTCCAGCCTATTGGGCTGCACTTTCTCTGAATGCTCAGCAACTGTTGCCTGTCTTGTGTTCTAGTGAAGGCAGTTGTTCATTGCCATTGGTCCATCTTCCCGTCGCTTTCTCCAGTGCAAGATACCCAAGCCAATTAAAGCCACACTCAGGAGACCTACAGCCACAGCCAGAGCTGTAACGGTGTGCCCTGCAAAACAATGGGAAGGGCAGATAAAAATGGGAAGTCACTCAACCTTCAGCACTAGGGTCACAGTGTGTGTGTGTGTATGTAAGCTCTCGTTACCTGTACGGTTCTGAGGGTTTTGGCATTCGGCATCCCAGTCCTGTGGAACAACTGCACGAGTGAGTTTGGTGAAGAGTGGTAATGGGCAATGTGTAGGACATCCAGGCAAGGTTAGTGTGTGGGGTTGCTGATCACTAGTATTCCGGTAAAACATGGCAACAGTGAAGGAGCTGGAGAAAGAGAAAACAAGGATCTCAATGGGAGATACTTTGGGCCAGCTTTTTACCCCCAACACTATATAATTGCTCAAGGAAGTGATGCTTCACTCTCAGCACCTTCTGACCCCACAGCTATTAGGATAATTAACTCATCATATACAGTAATATGCTGACAACTCAATAAGACAGCCAGCTGCAACAATATAGGTACTGGTCTTTGAATGAGAAACTGGTTCACTGGCTAACCCAGAAAAGGTGTGCTGTAAATAACATGCAGATTGTAAAGTAAAAGAGGTTAACTAAACCACAAAATTGACATAGGCCCTATGTAAAATCTGTACTATAAGCAAACACTCAGAATTCTGTGGTCTGTACAAAATGTCCATTGTACATATTTTGTAGTAATCCTGCTGGGCATGAGAAGGTACAGAGTTGCATGCTACCTTGGCTGTACATATTTTGTAATCCTGGGCACGAGAAGGTACAGAGTTGCATGCTACCTTGGAAAATCAGTGCACTTTCTGCTTCTTTTAATCTGGTGTTATACACACCCTTCAATTCTGGGGGCGGGGGGACCCTGCAAACCTTTTTCCTTAGTCTCATGTTGGGTGAGCTGTTACAAAAATGTGCAATCTTAACTGGCCGAGAAACAGCTAAAGTGACATCGGCCAGCTGAAGCAGCACTGAACCTTCTTTTTCCTGCCAACGCTGTGGCTATGTCCCTGGATTGGAAGATCTGGAGTAACGCTGCTCCTCCCGCAGCCATTTCTTGTGCCTAATTCTATTTTCCTGTGGCTATGTCTGGAGTAACGCTGCTTCTCCCGCAGCCATTTCTTGTGCCTAATTCTGATCTACAGCATGCCTTTGAGTTAGGACTGCATTCTTCGCATTGTCTGGTATTATTTTTTTTCCTAGTGCATGTCAACGTGGCTTTGTCTATATTTCTATGTGGTCAAGAATGGTATTTGACAAGTTCAGTTGCCAGCAAAACAAAATACACCTCCCCTCCATAAACCAACTTACTTATTGGTTTCTTGGTAGAATTCAAATCCATGACAGGCAGCATATGGTGGTGGGTGACCATTATAAACGCCCAGGGCTCCTTGAAGAGCAATTAAGGTGCTGTCGTGCTGAACGGGGGTAGAAACAGCTCAGACAAGGTGTCATGCTAATAAACCCTTCTTCCTCACACTCCACATATCATTCTCAGAAATGTTTGGTACATTGAAATGTACTCAGTGGTAACCTGTGGACAAGATCTTGGAGGAAAGGTGAGTGTAGCACATTTTGTAGTACAGGTACTACACATTGCCATTTGAGGAGCTAAACATAAGACCATGGTGTTTAGAATATAAAATGACCTAACTGAATTAAGCAATAGTTCTACTCTTTCACCAGAGGACCAGTAATATTACTGTCCCTCTAATTCAAAACCATTTTTGCTATAAATGTCATCCAAAGACGTATAATTTTTGAACCATCAAAAACTACAGCTGCTTGAAGGGAAGCAACTAATGCTGTCTGGATGGTTGGGAAGCCAAGATACTTGGTTTTTCCCCCTAAAGCCGACAGCATGGAGGCAAAGTATCTGAAAGATGACCCTCTCCTTTATGAGTCTGGGCCATAGTTTAAGATCATAGTATCATAGAATAATGAAGTTGGAAGGGTTTAATAGACCAAGCCAGTGCAGAAGAATATGATTTTGAATACTTTGCATTGTGCAGGGGAACCTTTGGTAAGTGTGGTTTTATGTTGTAATCAAATAAACTCTTGCAGTTCCTTTCCTCTGTGGCAGTAAGGATGCATTTGGTTGTATAGGGTGTAAGTGAAAGTATTGTTCCTGTAACAAGAGACATGGTAGCAGGGATGCTCCAATGATGTTAGCACTGGGCACAGATTGCTATGATGATGACAGTGCACTCCATGCCTTTGACACATGGGGGACTGAGGAGCAGCATCCCTGCCCAACCTGGGAGGTTGAAATTGAAGATCAGATTCTGGTTTGTAGTATATCCTGTATAGGGAACTATGGATAGGGAATGCTAGCATTCTCTTATCAATTCAAATAATTAAGGAGTAGGTCCTCTTATCATTGCCTTTGATGGGAGATGTGCAGTGCCTGTGACTGAATCTCTGCATTTGTACGACTTGAACAGACATGCATAGATCTGACAGACTTACCAGCTGCAGAGGGAAGGGCTGTGACTGAACAGGTCTGGGAGAAGGAAAACTTATCTCCTCCTGCCAGTGCAGTTGAATTCTGATTATTTTCAAAAAGGTAGTGGGCTTTCCTAAATCCCTTTCTTACATTCATCTGTGGATACTTGTCCACCTCTGTTTGATGTGTATGACATAGTTTTGCAGATGAAATGTTTACGTAGAAAGATCAGCCTTATGAATTTCTGTTTCTAATGAAGGTATCTTCATTACTAATAGATGACTCCAGCATTAGAGTACATGGCTCTGATGTGATTCCCAGGGTGAAAATCTGCCCATCAGAGTGAACGCGGCTACCATCCTGAACGTCTGCTTTCTGAGCAAGGTGAGGGGTTTTTGGCATTGTTATCCAAGTGATACATCAGGTTCAGTGTGAAATATTGAGAAGCGCATATGATGTTCTGTGATAGTAAACCCTGGGATGGGGAACAGGGGATACCCCAATGATGTCAGCACTGGGCTCCGATCACTGTGATGATTTTGGTGCCTTCTGGGGACTTGACACTCCAGGAGACTGAGGGGTTCTCTAGGAGTATTTACATCGCTGTGTGTCTTGTGTATTTAAGGCAGACCTGGGCAAAGTGCGGCCCGAGGGCCACATACGGCCTGCAAGCTGCTCCTGTCCCGCCCGCCGGACATCAAAAACATTTATAGCTTTTTGTCTAAACTTAATCAGTTGCCTATGTTTAACATACCACAAAAACCTCTTTAGTATTTGTGAAGATTAACAAGCTTAAAATAAAAACAATCATAACATCACTGTTTCATTTTATTTTTAAGTAAAGTTGGTTCAGCCCCCGAACACAGTTCAGATTTTTCATGTGGCCCCTTATAGAAATTGCCCACCCCTGATTTAAGGGGTGAGATGTACCTATAGGCTCCCAGCACTGGAACCCTATCATTTGTCTTGTAAAAAAAAGAGTATTCATAATGGTGCAAAACTGCAGCAAGGGTATTACATTTCAGTAATTTATAATTATGTGCTGAGGAGTTGATTCTGGCTTGCACTGACTCTATGTAGATAGTGATCAGAAGTGATTTACTATTTCCTTTTTCTGAGGGTGTTCAGGGACCATCTAGCTTGTCCAAGGGCACACATGCTCGCTGTTGTCCTTTAAGGCAGTGGTTCTTAACCTTTGTTACTCAGGTGTTTTTGAACTGCAACTCCCTGAAACCTCAGCCAGCAGAGCTGATGGTGAAGGCTTCTGGGAGTTGCAGTCCAAAAACATCTGAGTAACAAAGG